AAGTTACTCGAATCTATAATAGCAAATAAAATTCGTCTTCATCTTGAAAAACATAAATTAATAATTGAGTCGCAACATGGTTTTATAAATGGCCGTTCATGTTTAACAAATTTGTTATCTTTTTATTCTAGCATTGTTGAGGCAGTTGATAGTGGTAAGGATTGCGATGTTGTATACCTTGACTTTAGCAAAGCTTTTGATACAGTGCCACATGAAAGACTGATTAAAAAAAATAGTCTCATGGTATTGGGGGTGCTATATTAAGCTGGATTAGGGCATGGCTATACCAAAGGAAACAGAGAGTTAGTATAAATGGAATCAAGTCAGAGTGGGAAAATGTTGTAAGTGGAGTGCCTCAAGGCTCTGTCCTGGGACCTCTGTTGTTTATAATATATATAAATGATTTAGATTCAGGTTTGAGTAGCAACATTTGCAAATTTGCCGATGATACGAAAATCGGTAGGGAAATTAATTCGGAGGAGGACTCACTATCACTTCAAGTTGATCTAGATAGGGTTTTGAAATGGTCAAAGGATTGGCAGATGCAGTTTAATGCTGATAAATGTAAAGTTCTGAGGTTAGGTAATGATGATAGAGTTACAAGATACGAGCTAGATGGTGTTGTGATTGCGAAGTCGGATTGCGAAAGGGATCTGGGAGTTATGATTAGTAAGAATTTAAAACAAAAGGATCAATGCATAAATGTTCGTAATAAGGCAAATCGGACACTTGGATTTATTAATCGCAGCGTTAGTAACAAGACACCTGGTGTGGTTCTCAAGCTATATCTTGCTCTAGTTAGGCCCCATTTAGATTATGCAGTTCAGTTTTGGTCGCCATATTATAGAATGGATATAAATTCACTTGAACGTGTCCAGCGTAGGATGACTAAGTTAATTCCCCAAATTAGAAATCTTTCATATGAAGAAAGATTAACAAAGCTTAAGTTGCATTCACTGGAAAGGCGAAGAGTTAGGGGTGACATGATAGAGGTTTACAAGTGGATGAATGGACATAACCGGGGGGATATTAATAGGGTATTAAAAGTATCAACACAGGACAGAACACGAAACAATGGATATAAATTGGATAAGTTTAGATTTAGGAAAGACTTGGGTAAATACTGGTTCAGTAACAGGGTTGTTGATTTGTGGAACCAATTGCCGCGTAACATTGTGGAGGTGGGGTCCCTCGATTGTTTCAAGCACGGGTTGGACAAGTATATGAGTGGGATTGGGTGGTTATAGAATAGGAGCTGCCTCGTATGGGCCAATAGGCCTTCTGCAGTTACCTTTGTTCTTATGTTCTTATGTTCTTAACCTTCTAGGAAGCTTTTAATGTCAGGATTGACATTACAGTTCAGCGTTTATATATATATATATATATATATATATATATATATATATATATATATATATATATATATATATATATATATATATATATATATATATATATATATATATATATATATATATATATATATATATATATATATAATGCACATGAGAGGATGTGCAGTGACTTAATATCTAACATATTCAGAGATTTGAGTAAGGGTACCGAGTGATGTCTGGGGCCAGAGTTGGATATTGTCCTAATAGCAGCTTTGTGTTGGGTAATTAGAGGTTAGAGGACGTAAATGATTTTGGGTAGTAGAACCCCAAGCACAAATACCATAGTTGAGATAAGGATAGATGAGAGAGTACTAGAGTGTCACCAGGGCAGGGCGAGGTACATAATATCTGATCTTAGAAAGAATGCCAACAGTTTTAGAAACTTTTTTTGTTTTATTTAGAATGTGTCCCTGGAAATTCAGCTTGTTATCGATGAGGACACCAAGGAATTTACCATCAACTTTACTACTGATTTGTATATTGTTTATTCTTAAATTAATTTCATTTGAGGTTTTATTACCAAACAAAATATAGAAAGCTTTGTCAATGTTAAGGGTGAGTTTGTTAGCAGTTACCCAAAGATGGACTTTATTTAGTTCAGTGTTCACTGTAACATTTAGAGCAAGAGTGTCAGGACTGGAGAAGATGAAAGTTGTGTCATCAGCAAATATGATTAGTTTGAGGTGTTGAGAGGCATTTGGAAGGTCATTAATGCAGATGAGAAAGAGGAGAGGGCCAAGTATGCTGCCCTGTGGAACACCAATGTTTATAGGTAGTGTCGGAGAAATGGAATTATTCACAGAAAACATACTGGAGCCTGTCAGTAAGGTAGGACTGAAGGTATTGCAGGGAGTGACCTCTGACTCCATAATGATGTAATTTAAGAAGAAGGTTTTGGTGGTTGACAGTGTCAAAAGCCTTACGTAGGTCCACAAATATACCAACAGGGAACTCATTTTTATCAAGAGCTGTATGTATCAAGTTAATCATACTAATAAGTGTTTTACTTGGGCGGAGTTTGAGTATTTATGACTCGTATGGTCGCTTCAGTAAGATTTTGTCCCATGTGTTTAACAACTTCTTCTGCTCTTTGACTCTAAGTTGAAATCTTAAAGAGGTTTGTAACTGTGCACTGTGTTAGATAATGTTCCAATGGTCTGTCGGGCTTTTCTCCACAGTGCTGACATTTCCTCTCATCTTCTGGAACCTGTAGGCCTATTCCCCATGCACATGGGTACCCAAGCCTGATGCGATGTAAGTGTACTTCTGTTGCTCTCTGCTCCCTTTTATCAAACTAAGTGGTTCGTAGTTGGTTGAATTCTTGTACCAACCCGCAGATCCTGATGTTGCAACTGCTGTGTTGTGGTCACTGTACATCTTTTGCATTGCTCTGTTTCTAATTACTTTCTTAATCTGTGATAGACTCTGTGGTATGTAAATGTCTACATTACTTCTCTTAGTTGCAAGTTTCGCAGGTTCGTCTGCAATGTCATTTCCTATTATTCCCTGATTACCCTGTTGATAAGTACCCGACGGTCTTGTCATTTGAGTGTTTGCATTATGATATGACATTTGTGATCAGATAGATGTTATCACGTATGTGTTCTTGTTGCTAGGTTTCAATGGCAGATCAGCAGATAATGAGAATTCCCAGAGATACTTGTAAGCGAGTCTAAGCCGAGCAGTAGTAACATCTAGAAGTCTGCTGAGTTTAGTGGATGATCGATAGATGTGTGGCTCCTCTTGCATGATAGTATGATAATAGATGGAATTGCTGGTGTCAATTTCACTTTGCCTCAGATCTACAAGATTTTTTGAAGTTCTCGGTGTACTATTGCTCTCAGATTGCTCATTGACAATCCAAGGTTATACTCAATTTCTCTTTTAAAGGCAGATTCGTTGGCTAACTCATCAGCTCTATCATGCATTCGGAGGCCAACATGAGATGGAGTCCACATGAAATGGACTCTGTTACCATCAGTTAGTTTGTTTAGTTCATTTATTATGCACCCCATACCCATCTTGTGGGCGGTAGTGGAAAGGGTTACAGAGACACATAATGGGATCAGTAATAATTTTGTTGTATTTGTGTCTAGGTTCAGACACGAGCATGTTACAGTTATGTCTTAAAGAGTTGAGAGCATTTAAGGATGATAAAGTCACTTACAATTAATGTATCAAGTTTGGAGACTTGTACACATTTCATTCCAAGAAGCAAGGCAATTAGTTCGGTCTGAAGGGTACAAGCCCAGTTGTTTAGAAGAACTGGCAGAATTTTACACGAATTTGAAAACTCTGCTGAACTTTAAAATCCAATTTGGAAAAATCATCAGGTCAAATGGGAAGACATTTGACAAGCCGTCGACTTTCTTTCCTCGTCGAGGCCACTAGAGTGTTAGTGACCCTCAGGTAAATTCAGGTAAATGTGTATATACCGATAAGAAAATTAAGACCTTCCACCTTTTCCCTGTGAAATTATTATGTAAGGTAATAGTGGCCGGAGTGTGTATACGTGTGTGAACTGTGGCATGAGTACTGTGCTACTGACTCACAGTATTGAGTACCGCGCTACTGACTCACAGTATTGAGTACTGTGCTACTGACTCACAGTATTGAGTACTGTGCTACTGACTCACAGTGTTGAGTACTGTGCTACTGACTCACAGTATTGAGTACTGTGCTACTGACTCACAGTGTTGAGTACTGTGCTACTGACTCACAGTATTGAGTACTGTGCTACTGACTCACAGTATTGAGTACTGTGCTACTGACTCACAGTATTGAGTACTGTGCTACTGACTCACAGTATTGAGTACTGTGCTACTGACTCACAGTATTGAGTACTGTGCTACTGACTCACAGTGTTGAGTACTGTGCTACTGACTCACAGTGTTGAGTACTGTGCTACTGACTCACAGTATTGAGTACTGCGCTACTGACTCACAGTGTTGAGTACTGTGCTACTGACTCACAGTATTGAGTACTGTGCTACTGACTCACAGTATTGAGTACTGTGCTACTGACTCACAGTATTGAGTACTGTGCTACTGACTCACAGTATTGAGTACTGTGCTACTGACTCACAGTATTGAGTACTGTGCTACTGACTCACAGTGTTGAGTACCGCGCTACTGACTCACAGTATTGAATACCGCGTTACTGACTCACAGTATTGAATACCGCGCTACTGACTCACAGTATTGAGTACTGCGCTACTGACTCACAGTATTGAGTACTGTGCTACTGACTCACAGTATTGAGTACTGCGTTACTGACTCACAGTGTTGAGTACTGTGCTACTGACTCACAGTATTGAGTACTGCGCTACTGACTCACAGTATTGAATACCGCGCTACTGACTCACAGTATTGAGTACTGTGCTACTGAGTACCAGCCACAGTTAAATACCTCGCTCCAATCACAGCTACTCACCCTTTAACTGAGCCCTTTAACTGCGCTCCACAATACTCACTCCACATAACTACCTCATCAACTTAATGTCGCTAGCTGTACCGTACACACACATACAGCTTCTGATATAACCGGTCGTCGGCCTCGGGCTCTAAACCTAATCAGAGAAATTCAGAATTTCCTTAAAAAGTGTTGTGGGGTTGAGCGTGTGGCGAGGGAGGAGGAGGAGTGCGCATGCGTGCCCGGGCCACCTCCTGCTGGCCGCTCATCGCCCTCACCCTCCTGCTCTCCTCTTCCATTTTTTGTTCTTAGGTGGGCTTGAGGACCTTGTGAGACGCTAGGAATGCAAGGTAAGTGTGAGGGTAAGGCGGGGAGAGGAGCTGGGTGTGGAGGAGGGCGGACATGACGGGATACACCCGCTACAGTTGGGGGTGCTGGTCTTTGTTTTGATTCTGACCTCCATACATGTTGACCGTAGATTGTCACATTACTGCCTCGCCATAATGATCCCGGCCTCGCCGTAACGCTCCCGGCCTCGCCGTAACGCTCCCGGCCTCGCCGTAACGCTCCCGGCCTCGCCGTAACGCTCCCTGCCTCGCCATAACGCTCCCTGCCTCGCCATAATGCTCCCTCCCTCCCCATAGTGCTCCCTGCCTCGCCATAATGCTCCCGGCCTCGCCGTAACGCTCCCGGCCTCGCCGTAACGCTCCCGGCCTCGCCGTAACGCTCCCTGCCTCGCCATAATGCTCCCTGCCTCGCCATAATGCTCCCTCCCTCCCTATAGTGCTCCCTGCCTCGCCATAATGCTCCCTGCCTCGCCATAATGCTCCCTCCCTCCCTATAGTGCTCCCTGCCTCGCCATAATGCTCCCGGCCTCGCCATAATGCTCCCTCCCTCCCTATAGTGCTCCCTGCCTCGCCATAATGCTCCCTGCCTCGCCATAATGCTCCCTGCCTCGCCATAATGCTCCCTGCCTCGCCATAGTACTCCCTGCTTCGCCATAGTACTCTCTGCCTCGCCATAGTACTCCCTGCCTCGCCATAATGCTTCCTGCCTCACCATAGCGCTCCCTGACTTGCCATAATGCTCCCTGCCTCGCCATAGCGCTCCCTGCCTCGCCATAGCGCTCCCTGCCTCGCCATAGCGCTCCCTGACTCGCCATAGTACTCCCTGCCTTGCCATAATGCTTCCAGCCTCGCCATAATGCTTCCTGCCTCACCATAGCGCTCCCTGCCTCGCCATAATGCTCTCTGCCTCGCCATAATGCTCCCTCCCTCCCCATAGTGCTCCCTGCCTCGCCATAATGCTCCCTGCCTCGCCATAGCGCTCCCTGCCTCGCCATAATGCTCCCTCCCCATAGCGCTCCCTGCCTTGCCATAATGCTCCCTGCCTCGCCATAATGCTCCCTGCCTCACTATAATGCTTCCTGCCTTGCCATAATGCTCCCTACCTCACCATAGTGTTCCCCGCCTCACCATAACGCTCCCCTGCCTCGCCATAATGCTCCCAGCCTCGCCATAACACTCCCCTGCCTTGCTATAATGCTTCCAGCCTTGCCATAATACTCCCTGCCTCGCCATAATGCTCCCAGCCTCGCCATAATACTCCCTGCCTCGCTGTAATGCTCCCTGCCTCGCCGTAATGCTCCCTGCCTCGCCGTAATGCTCCCTGCCTCGCCGTAATGCTCCCTGCCTCGCCGTAATGCTCCCTGCCTCGCCGTAATGTTCCCCTGCCTCGTCCTAACGCTGCCCTGCCTCGCCGTAACGCTGCCATGCCTCGTCGTAACGCTCCCCTGCCTTGCCGTCGCGTAACGCTCCCCTGCCTTGCCGTAACGCTCCCCTGCCTCGCCGTAACGCTCCCCTGCCTCGTCGTAAAGCTCCCCTGCCTTGCCGTAATGCTCCCTGCCTCGCCGTAACGCTCCCCTGCCTCGCCGTAACGCTCCCCTGCCTCGCAGTAACGCTGCCCTGCCTCGCGGTAACGCTGCCCTGCCTCGCGGTAACGCTGCCCTGCCTCGCGGTAACACTGCCCTGCCTCGCCGTAACGCTCCCCTGCCTCGCCGTAACGCTGCCCTGCCTCGTGGTAGCGCTCCCCTGCCTCGCCGTAACGCTGCCCTGCCTCGCGGTAACGCTGCCCTGCCTCGCGGTAACGCTGCCCTGCCTCGCGGTAACGCTGCCCTGCCTCGCGGTAACGCTGCCCTGCCTCGCGGTAACGCTGCCCTGCCTCGCGGTAACGCTGCCCTGCCTCGCGGTAACGCTGCCCTGCCTCGCGGTAACGCTGCCCTGCCTCGCGGTAACGCTGCCCTGCCTCGCGGTAACGCTGCCCTGCCTCGCGGTAACGCTGCCCTGCCTCGCGGTAACGCTGCCCTGCCTCGCGGTAACGCTGCCCTGCCTCGCGGTAACGCTGCCCTGCCTCGCGGTAACGCTGCCCTGCCTCGCGGTAACGCTGCCCTGCCTCGCGGTAACGCTGCCCTGCCTCGCGGTAACGCTGCCCTGCCTCGGCGCCTCACCTCGTACACACCACCACCACACCATCAATATCCACCTTTCAGTTTTTGTTTTCCGTGAATGAAAGATTGTTTTAAATTGATGATAATTGATTTGGTTTTGATTTCCTGACAATTAGGTTCACGGTTCACCAAGATGACCCACCCAATGGGGCCAGAGGTTTGGGGGGAGGGTGAACAGAGTGGGGGGGGTGGGCCTGGGCATGCTGAGAGTGGGGGGTGGGTCTTGGCATGCTGAGAGTGGGGGGGGGAGTGAGCCTGGGCATGCTGAGAATGGGGGGTGGGTCTTGGCAAGCTGAGTGGGTGGGTTGGGTCTGGGTAGGCTAAAAGAGAGGTGGGATGGGTGCTGGTGTGCCGACAGGGCGGTGGTGGGTGGGGTGGGTGCGGGCGTGCTGAGAGGGCGGTGGGCGGAGGGGGGTGCGGGCATGACGAGAGGGCGGTGGTGGGTTAAATGGGTGCTGGCTTGTCGAGTTGACGGGGGGGGGGGGGGGTGCAGGCATGCTGAGAGGGTGGTGGTGGGTGGGGTGGGTGCTGGCGTGCCGAGGGTGGTGAGGGAGGGTGCTTGCGTGCCGAGAGGGCGGCGGGGTGGGGGGGTGATGGCGTGCCGAGAGGGCGGTGATGGGTGGGATGGGTGCTGGCAGGCCGAGGGCTGTGAGGGGGGTGTGGGCATGCCGAGAGGGCAGTGGTGGGTGGGGTGGGTGCGTGCGTGCCGAGAGGGCGTTGGTGGGTGGGGTGGTTGCGTGCGTGCCGAGAGGGCGGTGCTGGTGTGCCGAGGGCGGTGAGGGGAAGGGGGTGCGGACGTGCCGAGAGGGCGGTGGGGGGAAGGTGGGTCCTGGTATGTCGAGAGGGCGGTGATGGGTGGGATGGGTGCTGGCTGGCCGAGGGCTGTGAGGGGGGGTGCGGGCATGCCGAGAGGGCAGTGGTGGGTGGGGTGGGTGCATGCGTGCCGAGAGGGTGGTGGTGGGTGGGATGGGTGGGTGCATGCCGAAAGGGCGGTGGGTGGGGAGGTGCGGTGTGCTGAGAGGGCAGGGGGGATGGGGGGGTGGGATGTATGCTGGCGTGCCGAGGGCGGTGAGGGGGGGGTGCGGGTATGCCGAGAGGGCGGTGGGGGGAGGTGCTGGCATGCCAAGAGGGTGGAGGGGGGGGGGGTGGGCGTGCCAAGAAGGCGGTGGGGGGAGGTGAGGTGGGTGTGGGCGTGTCGAGAGGCGGGGGGGGGTGGGGGGGGAGGTTGGTGGTGGCGTGCTGAGAGGGCAGTGGGGCGGAGGTGGGTGCTGGTGTGCCGAGAGGGCAGTAGGTAGGTATGGGCATGCAAAGAGGGCGGTGGGGGGGGGGGGGTGTTGCAGGCCTGGCCTGCTGGGCAACCCGCTCTCGCACAAGACAGTATATATATGACTTGTTGCTTGTAGTCACTATTTGGCTGATTAATAAGTACCTATGTGGTATATGCCAAGTTATATTTTGTTTTTAAGGTACAAACTCTTCCTATAGATTCACTAAACACCAGTTTTCATATTAGGAATTTCTTTTTGAGTTTTATTAAACAATAGAGATTTTATACAATGACAATATTCTTAATTACTTTACAATTTATTTAAATATTTTGGTTTAGTTTTATTATTTTTTATAAAACTGTAATATCAATATAGGTATAGGTTAAGTAATAATTGTAATTAAGAAGCAATAAGATGCTTATCTTAACATACTAAGAAGGTTAGGTTAGGTCGGTGTTTTCTATTAAGCTTTTCAAGGTAAACTAAAATATTCACAATAAATTAGTATGTCACATATGCACTTATTAATAAGCCAATATTGACTCTAAGCAAGTGCAAGAATGGGTTGTGCTGGGAGGGTCTGGTGTATGGGTGCCCTTCAACTCCTATTTTTGATCTTGGTGTTTTTTCTGGAGAGTGGTTTCTATGTCCAAGAGGTTCTTTCTCTTCTTTTTTGTTCCTTAGCTGCTCTCCCTCGTGTGCTTTTCTGGGTATCAGCCAGTTTCTAGGATTCACCCTTTTTGTGCAAGCTTTGATGGCTCGTCTATCCCCAATGTTTGTGGGGGATTGATTCTGGGGTTAAAGATTCCATTTTGGTGTTAGCGTCCATACCTCACCTTGGGTTGCAGATGTATCCTCTGTATTTGCATAGTGTGCTTTTTTTTACAGGTACTCAACCACATGTGTGGGGTTTTGAAAGGACTGACTTTTGGCAGTACTGTACATACAACTGAGTACCGATTTTGTTGAGACTCGTGTCACTCTCATTGAAAATGCACTAGAAAAGATGTTGGATGGACACCTAACTAAATTCTTTACACAAGCAATCCAACCCATCTCCGAGGCTGACCCAACAGACACCCCATCGATATGTACAAACAATGACATCTCCCCAGACACAGCTACCATTGCTGGATACACATCTTTAAACTGATGGGGTACCTCCTAAATACCCCAGGCTGCCTTGCCACAAACCCCAACCATCAGCACCAAGAGTAAGAAACCCCCCAGCTATATAAACCTCCCAACAATCTGGCACTTTGACTGAAAAACCCCATAAACCACATTCTCCCATGGCACATCCTCTAACCACTCCCAGATATTCAACATGTACTACGAGCACGTCAAAGAAGACCGATGTAATCACATCCCAGACATAAAAATTCAAAATATGACAACATAATCCATCTTTAACAAACCTACCCCAACTTAACCTTATATACATAAACCCCCCCTTGTTACTTAATGTACCCTACCCTACCCTACCTTACCCTACCATAATCCATCCTAACCTATCGGACTTGCGACAAACTTTCAAACATACTTCGACTCACATACTCAGTTTCTAGACTAAACCTCTCGCTTTTCATTGAACAGCAACACTGTGATACCACCATTAACACAACTCATCTTTGCCATCCATTTTGCAGTCCATTTCCACTTGTGTGTATTTTTCTCATTATCCTCGCACAAATAGAAGACATCGATAACTTTCCAATCTGTGCCAAATTCTGAACATTGATGTGCCACTGTGAGTTCCGCATCTTTCAACATCGCCACCTGTGCAGTTATCGGGAGGACAAACTTTCCTGCAAACTGCATGTATCGCAAAGAAGTAGAAGAGGAAGAAGAAGAAGAAAAACAAAATGCAGATGTTGTATAAACAGACTTCACACATTCATTTGATAAATGCGACCATGGAGTGATAGCACGCAAAATGAGGTCAATGGGAATAACAGGCAAAGTAGGACAGTGGATATTCAATTTTCTGGCGAACAGAACACAGAGTAACAGTCAACCAAATAAGAAATAGTTCAAGCACAGTTAAAAGCTCTGTACCCCAGGGTAGAGTCCTTGCACCACTGCTTTTCCTTATTCTCGTACCAGGTATAGACAGAAATACAAGTTACAGCTTCGTATCATCCTATGCAGATGACGAAAATCAGCATGAAAATTACCTCTGCTGAAGACATTGAAAAACTAGAAGCAGATATTAATAAGAGTTTTTGACTGGGCAGCAGAAAATAACATGATGCTTAAGTGATAAATTCCAGGTACAGAGTACTGTACTCAGGTATGGTAAAAATGAGGACCTTAAACAGTTCAGTGGTTAATAAAGTTTCGACTGGCTAGCAGAAAATAACATGAGATGTAACAGTGATAAATTTCAGGTACAGTACTTGGGTACGGTAAAAATGAGAACCTTAAACATAATACAGTGTACAAAACACAATCAAATCTGACCATAGTAGGAAAGCAGCATGTAGGGGATCTGGAAATCATGATGTCTGATGACCTAACGTTTAAGAAGCATAACCAAGCAAATACTGTATTGCATCAGCTCAAAAAATTATAGGATGGATTATGAGAACCTTCAAATCCAGGGATCCCATCATAATGATTGTACTATTCAAATCACTAGTGCTCTCCCGTTTTGAGTACTGCTCGATACTGGCTTCCTCCTTCAGAGTTGGAGAGTGTGCCGAGATAGAGGGAATACAGAGAACATACACAGTAAAAATACACACGAAGCACAGCAGAGTATCACTTGCTACCAGCAAACAATGCCACCTTATGCAGCAAAATGCCTCTAATATGCTACACACATACATTGCTAACTCTAGCCACAACAATGCCATTATCAGATACTTGTCACTAAATCATGAATATGAATAGTTTTCCACAAGTTTATTTTCTAAAGGAACATGAGTACTGATTTCATGATGTGTAGATGCATGAAACCTTTGCTTTGCACTGTAAATCGTTCCTCATTGACTTGTACAGTGGGGGGGTCAGAAATGGCATGATCGTTCCTGACTGACGTGCTGCATTTGAAGGGTTAATCTATTGAGATATTTACAGAGAGTTGGGATTACTCCCATTTCCTGGAAGTGTGAAGAACCTGTTTGTGGGATCACATGACAAATGTACACAGGGTCAGCATCTTATTCTTGTGCTATAAGAGTGTAATATTGGATATCTCGGGTGAGGTAATGTTTATACTGTACGTACAGTACTGAAAATATTGTTTTTTGAAATTCCTGTAGGTAGTACAGTCGAGTTCATTCTTCACTCATGATTGGGAATTTCGAGTTCTAATCCCAGGCGGGACAGAAATGGTTGAGGTGTTTCCTGACACCTGATGCACCTGTTTACTTAGCAGTAAGTAGGTACCCAGGAGTTCGTCAGCCTGCTGTGGAATTGCATCCTGGGAGGTCAGCAATTTGACTTTGGAGGGGGGAACCTCGATATAAGACTTACATGTATATATACACTGGCTGCCTGTTGCTCGATATAATGAATTATGAATTACTAGTATATTAAATGTTAAGTTAAATCGTAAAATATTATGCAAAAGTCAAACTGGGATCCAAGTTATTTGTACAAACTTCTGTGCCATGAGCAGATACAGAGCCAGTTTAAAGATTACAGCAACTTTCTTGCCTGATAATGCTACAATTTTTTCAGATGTCGTCAGATGAAAGCCACACACACGATTTGTTATTGACTAGTCCAGATTCGGAGGAACATTTAGTGGACGATGATGTAGTTCAAGAGTCATCCACGGTGGGTGATTGTCCTCTTTCATTAGAACAGCTAGAGGATCCGCTCGCTCCCAACACAAGTGATGCCCAAGGTATGCATTTTCTATTAATTTACATAGGCATTATGTAAAACATTTATTGTTTTGTGTTTGTTTAATAACAATTATTGCATTGAGCATTCTCACAGGTTATTAGGCTAGAATATGCTCAAGCCATCTTTGCTACAATGTGAAGACTGATATTGTACAGTCTATGCTTTTTGTGGGGAAGCCCCCGGAACTTGCCCAGAAAATGGCATTTCATTACATTCAACGCTGGGTTTTTTATGCTATTTTGCAAGGAGCCATTTTGTCAGTTGGTAAATTGTCAATCTTGCACATGGTTATGGAGAGGTAAGAGAGCGCTCATAATTAGGTACAACTAATATGGTTACCATAATCTTTTTTTATTTATATATTATTATTTTTTAATGTTAGGTATATAATTAGGTACACCTAATAGGGTTACCATAATCTTTTTTTATTTATTTATATATTAATTTGTTTAATGTTTCTTCTTTTGACGTGTTTCCATTCGGTATCTCCAGTATGATTCTGTATATTGACTTGAATTGTCAAATATTTTACTTATGTTAAAAAAAATAACTAGGGAAAAATCACCAGTCTTTAGACATTTAACCCTTGGGTAGTGCAGCTATTAATAGCCAACAACACTGCTGTGCAGAAGAAAAAATAATTCAAAACAATTTTGTCTCCTTTATTGGACATTTAGAAATTCTGGAGTGTGAGAAACTCTGAAACACTTCACATGACAAAGGTGAACAGCACATGCTTGGCACCATGTTAACACCCATTTACATATCTGTAGCTTCCTTTGTGGGGTTTTACAAACAATGCACTCACACTGGTCTAATGTATGCTTTCCAGATGGTGGTAAATGTTCTAATTTGTGTACAGTGGCACCTCGTCTTAAGACTGTCCCTACTTACGAATTTTTTGAGTTATGACGTAAATTTCGTCGGAAAATGAGACTCGACTTGCGACCTTTGCCTTGACTAGTGACTTTTATTGATAGTCACTTGGGTCGGCTGAGCACGTGGTTCCTGGTGGCACAGGCTGACCCGGCCTCAGTTTACCAGAGCTGCTTGCTAAGTGGCGATCGTGCTTGTAAAGAATTCCATTATTTTTGTGCTTTTTGGTTTTTTGAACATAAAAGTAATTATTATGTATCATGTCATGGGTCCCAAGAAAGTTTTTCTTGTTCCCAAGAAAGTCAGTGTTAAGGTTCAACCTAAGAAAACCCATGTGAGGATGACCACAGAGGAAAAACAAGAGATCATTCGTAAACATGAAAATGGTATGAGGGTTGTTGATGTAGAGGATGTCCCTTCCTCATTTATTATGAAAATGTGTGCAGCAGCATGGGAAGAACTGCAAACTTTTGCTGAAAAGACTCGCCCAAATCAAGTTGCAGTAGGCCGTTGCCTTAACCTTTTCAATGACACTGTGATGCATCACTACAGACAAATATTGAAAAAAATTGAAAAAAAGAAAAATATCTAAAAGGTTCATTCAGTGAATGTCAGGTAAGCTGCTACATTTTCAATAAAAAATAAAATGAAACTTAAAAAAATATTGAAAAAATTTGAAAACAAATAAAAATGTCTAAAAGGTTTGTTCAGTGGATGTCAAGTAGGCTGCTCTATTTTCTATAAAAAATAAGAAAAATGAATAAATAAATAAAAAGAATGAAAGAATTTGAAAAAAGAAATGTCTAAAAGGTTTGTTCAGTGGATGTCAGGTAGGCTGCTCCATTTTCCATAAAAGATTAAAAATATAATTAAAAATTAAAAAAAGAAAAACAATCGCTGCCTGATGTTATAATGGAAGGGAACTCTCCTTCCAAACAATAACACCTCCTCCTTGCAGTCTTCCATACACCAACAAGTCATCAATAAAGGTAAGCAATAACTTGTACATACAGTCCAACCTGCACTATATGGGACCAACCCCCAGTGCGTTGGAGCACTGGATTTGTTGCAAGAGGTGACCTTCAGGAGACGTTTGTGTCAGTATCTTTTTTTTTTCTTGTACACAATAAATATGTATTATCATATTACATACTGTACCTATATATTACTACTCTACTAAAAAAATAGTTACATTTGTTATTTACCTTATTGTTAGTCTGGTCCATCTTGAAGTCTCATGGAGTTGTGAATGCTGTACAGTAAATACGTACTGTATACTGTAGTGTATTATGCCATTAGCACTATGTTGATTAAGTAGTTCTGCTGTATGTTGAGTACTACAATACAGTTTATGAAAACTATTATACACTAAAATACTAAAATTACTGCAGCTTTAATTTTAACACTATGTACACACTTAAATTTAACACTTGTGTTAACTGTTTACTCCACACCCAATGTTTTTAGATGTTTGCATCAGCTTTGCTGGTGCTTGCTACTGCTGTGTTGGCTTCAGCTGCTGCTGAGCTGGTGCTGGCTGCTGTTATACTGGTGCTGGGTATGGCTGTGCTGGTGCTGGGTACGGCAGTACTGGTTGATTTTCTGCTATTAGTGTGTGAAAACTATTGACTCATTTTCGTTTTTCCTTCCTTCTGTCATGTCCTTGAGACAAATATCTTTCATCGTCCTTAGGTGTCGATAAAAGCTGGTGGGTTTTTGCGATTATTCTTCCACCGGCGGACAAACACGTAATTACCTAAGTGTAATTACCTAAGTGTAGTTACAGGATGAGAGCTAAGCTCGTGATGTCCCGTCTTCCCAGCACTCTTTGTCATATAACGCTTTGAAACTACTGACGGTCTTGGCCTCCACCACCACCTCACTTAACTTGTTCCAACCGTCTACCACTCTATTTGCGAAGGTGAATTTTCTTATATTTCTTCGGCATCTGTGTTTAGCTAGTTTAAATCTATGACCTCTTGTTCTTGAAGTGCCAGGTCTCAGGAAATCTTATCTGTCAATTTTATCAATTCCTGTTACTATTTTGTATGTAGTGATCATATCACCTCTTTTTCTTCTGTCTTCTAGTTTTAGCATGTTTAATGCTTCTAACCTCTCCTCGTAGCTCTTACCCTTCAGTTCTGGGAGCCACTTAGTAGCATGTCTTTGCACCTTTTCCAGTTTGTTGATGTGCTTCTTAAGATATGGGCACCACACAACAGCTGCATATTCTAGCTTTGGCCTAACAAAAGTCATGAACAACTTCTTTAGTATATCGCCATCCATGTATTTAAATGCAATTCTGAAGTTAGAAAGCATAGCATAGGCTCCTTGCACAATATTCTTTATGTGGTCCTCAGGTGATAGTTTTCTATCTAGAACCACCCCTAGATCTCTTTCTTTATCAGAATTCTTTAAAGATTTCTCACATAATATATAGGTTGTGTGGGGTCTATGTTCTCCTATTCCACATTCCATAACATGACATTTATTAACATTAAATTCCATTTGCCAAGTGGTGCTCCATCTACGTATTTTGTCCAGGTCTTCTTGAAGGGCATGACAATCATCTAAATTTCTTATCCTTCCTATTATCTTAGCATCATCAGCAAACATGTTCATATAATTCTGTATACCAACTGGTAGATCATTTATGTAGACAATAAACACCACTGGTGCAAGAACTGAACCCTGTGGTACTCCACTTGTGACATCTCTCCATTCCGATACATTGCCTCTGATTACTGCCCTCATTTTTCTATCAGTCAGAAAACTTTTCATCCATGATAGAAGCTTACCTGTCACCCCTCCAATATTTTTCAGTTTCCAGAACAACCTCTTATGTGGAACTCTGTCGAAAGCCTTTTTTAGGTCCAGATAGATGCAGTCAACCCAACCATCTCTTTCCTGTAATATCTCTGTGGCTCGATCATAGAAACTGAGTAAATTCGATACACAGGATCTTCCAGATCGAAAACCATACTGTCTGTCTGATATTATATCATTTCTCTCTAGGTGTTCTACCCATTTAGTTTTGATTAGTTTTCCAATACTTTCACTATTACACTTGTCAATGATACAGGTCTATAATTGAGGGGGTCTTCCCTGCTGCCACTTTTGTAGATTGGAACTATGTTAGCCTGTTTCCACACGTCTGCTACGATTCCTGTACACAGGGATGCCTGAAAGATCAGGTCACTCGCAGATAAAGCTGACGGCACTGGGTGCCTATTGTATGAACGCAGACTAGGTCTATAAAACCTGCAGTAGGCTGGTGTTTAAGCCAGATCCAGTAACATAAATTTCTCTTTCTCTCAAGTATTGGATTTACATCAAATTATATATTTTTGGGTTATATATTTAGTTTAGTATTATTATATATGTTTAATATTATAAATATTAAACATATAAATATATATATATAATTTTATAAAGAGTTAAAAGGACTGACATCAACAAGGATCCACACAGTGAACCACAAATACAACACAATACATCAGACAATGAAGAGGTGTGGCAAGTGTTCGGGGGTACTGGGAAAACGTAATGCAGGCGTAACGTGTTGCATCTGTAACATAAGATTTCACCTGGGCTGTACAGAATTAGCTCCAGGATGCATAAAAAGGCAAGGAATTTACTGGGTTTGCAAAGATGACAGATTAATGTTAGAGAACATAACTAAACTGATGAAAAACATTCCCGAGTCACAGAGATTATCATTCACAGACAGGCTACCAGTGATATATGCGGACTGGGAAAAGTCAACATTGGATAACGACCAAAACTCAGGAACAGATAGTTTAGAGAACCGCAGCAGTAGTGTGGAGGAGGAGACTATTGTGGCACAAAATAACAGCAATATTGCAGAGCCAGATAATATAAACAATGAGAGCAACAGTGAGACAGAGTGCATTGATGAAGGAATTGGGACGAAAAACGGAGATGGCTCCAATAAAGAGGTAGACAAGACAGTCACAGATATAAATACCTTGAAAAACGCAAAACCGGAACACATTTGCAAATTCTACGCTAAAGGAATATGCAAATATGGAAAATTAGGAGCAAAATGCCATTTTCTGCATCCTCGAAAATGCAGGAACATGTTGGAGAGGGGTACATGCCGTTTTGGAACAGGGTGTAGATACTTCCACCCTAAATTATGTCAATTTTCAATTAGGGACAAAAAATGCTACAATCTTCAGTGTCCGGAATTCCATGTGAGAGGTACAGAGCGTTATAGACGGGAAGATCAATATGACACTACTGGAAATTTTTTAGAGGAAGGCAGAAACAGAGTAGTAAATATAAGAGAGAGGAACAGTCAGATGGAACCACTACAGGATTACAGAGGGGAACGGAGATACAGTACCCACAAGACTGGAATTCAAATTATCAACAAGCACACAGGTACTACACCAGACAACACCCGTCCTACTACCAAAACTGGACGAATCACTTCCAAAACGACACACCCTGGACGCAAACACAGTGGCCTCCTTACCAGAGCCTCAGATATTAACACCAAGTAAGGCTTCCAGCACTTCCACTAACACGATAACATCATTTATATTTGCCAACATCCAGGGTATAAAAACACGCAAATCCAACAAAGTTCACTTTATAGATGGTCTCCTTCATGAGGCAAATGCAGTGTTTGCAGCCCTAACAGAAACCCACACAAAGGACTACCATGATGGTGAAATATGGATCTCAAAGTACAGTCTTTTCAGATGTGATAGGAAACACCGGCTTCAGGGTGGGGTCAGCCTCTACATCAAAGAGACACTCATCTGTACTGAGCTGCTAAACATCTCAAATGATATGGTGGAAGTGCTGATAATCAAAATATAGATTTTAAATGTAGTTATTGTCCTTGTATATAAGTCACCGGAGGCAAACCCTCAGCAGTTTAAAGACCAACTAATGAAAATAGAACACTGCTTGGAAAACCTCACAAATCCAGCTCCGAACATCATCCTGCTTGGGGACTTCAACTTACGGCACCTGAAATGGAAGCACCTGGCTAATACAGTAATATCAGAAAGAATACCAGGAAGTAGCCTAAATGAACAAGCACATGCAAATGACCTGCTACGGATGTGCGACAGGTTTGCCTTAAACCAACAAATAGTAGAACCAACTAGGAAGGAGAACACGCTGGACCTCATTTTCACTAATAATGATGAATTGATCAGGAACATAATGATTACAAATACCTGTTACTCGGATCACAACTTAATTGAAGTTATGACAACCATGGGGAGTAGACCTTCAAAACCAGTCCAGATTCCCAGTGGAGGAGATTTCAGCAAATTCAACTTCAATAATAAACAGATAAACTGGAAGCAAATAAACCAGGACTTCACAGAAATAAACTGGGAAGAACAGCTAGAAAATGCAAACCTGAACCAGTGCCTGGAAAAAATAAGCTCAGTAGCACTAGAAATATGTTCAAACCGCATACCTCTAAGAAAAAAGAGGAAGAGATGCAGATTGGAACGGGAAAGTCGTTCCCTATATAGGCGAAGAAAACGAATCGCGGAACAACTTGAGTCGCACCCTATCTCAAGAACGGCGAAGAACGTTAGGTAAAGAAATAGAAACAATTGAACGGAAGCTACAAGAATCATACAAAACCCAGGAGAGGCAAAGAGAGCAAAAGGCCATCAGTGAAATAGAGAGAAATCCGAAATATTTTTTCTCCTATGCAAAATCAAGATCAAAAACCACATCTAGTATCGGGCCCCTGCGAAAGGGAGATGGAACTTTCACCGATGACAACAAAGAAATGAGCGAGCTACTGAGGAAGCAGTACGACTGTTTTCAGTGAGCCATTAAACACACTAAAGATTGATAACCCAAATGAATTTTTCATGGATATGATACCAACATCAAATCATATATCAGACGTCTCCCTATCCCCACTGGATTTTGAAGAAGCCATAAACAGTATGCCTATGCACTCTGCACCAGGCCCGGATTCTTGGAACTCCATATTCATAAAGAACTGTAAAAAACCACTATCGCAGGCCCTCCACATTCTGTGGAGACAAAGCCTAGATACTGGCGTTATTCCTGATATACTAAAAACAGCAGAGATAGCACCACTTCATAAAGGAGGAAATAAGGCAGAGGCAAAAAATTACAGACCAATAGCACTAACATCGCACATCATAAAAATTTTTGAGAGAATGCTAAGAAGTAAGATCACAAAATACATGGAATCACAGCATCTCCATAACCCCGGACAACATGGTTTCAGAACAGGGCGCTCTTGCCTGTCGCAGTTGCTGGACCACTATGATATGGCATTAGATGCTATGGAAGACAAACAAAACGCTGATGTAATTTACACAGATTTCGCAAAAGCTTTTGATAAATGTGACCATGGTGTTATTGCACATAAAATGCGTTCAAAAGGAATTACCAGAAAAATAGGCAGATGGATCTACAATTTCCTGACCAACAGAACCCAATGTGTAATAGTCAACAAAATAAAATCCAGCCCATCAACCGTGAAGAGCTCAGTCCCCCAGGGTACTGTGCTTGCTCCAGTACTTTTTCTCATCCTCATATCGGACATAGACAAGAATACAACCTATAGCACTGTATCATCCTTTGCAGATGACACTAGGATCTTCATGAGAGTAGGCAACATAGAGGACACGGTGAACCTCCAGTCAGATGTAGATCAGGTCTTTCTATGGGCTACAGAAAATAATATGGTGTTTAACGAAGATAAGTTCCAGCTCATGCTCTATGGAAAAAAGGAAAATATAAAAACGGAAACCACGTACAAAACTCAGACAAATCATAACATAGAACGAAAAGGCAATGTAAAGGATCTGGGTGTACTCATGTCGGAAGACCTTACCTTTAAAGAACACAATAAAGTAGCCGTCACAACTGCAAGAAAAATGACAGGTTGGATAACAAGAACTTTTCACACTAGAGATGCTATACCGATGATGATACTTTTCAAAACGCTTGTGCTCTCTAGAGTGGAGTACTGCTGCACAATGACAGCACCTTTCAAAGCTGGAGAAATTGCTGACCTGGAGAGCGTGCAGAGATCCTTTACTGCTAGAATCCACTCAGTAAAACATCTAAACTATTGGGACCGACTAAAGAGCCTAAAACTGTACTTCCTTGAGCGCAGGCGGGAGAGGTACATAATAATTTACACGTGGAAAATATTAGAGGGGCTGGTCCCAAACCTGCACACAGAAATAACATCACATGAGACCAGAAGACATGGCAGGATGTGCAGAATACCCCCGTTGAAAAACAGAGGTGCAACAGGTACTCTGAGAGAGAACTCTATCAACTTCAGAGGTCCGAGACTGTTCAACACGCTTCCACTACACATAAGGGCCATAACTTGCCGACCCCTCACAGTGTTCAAGAGAGAACTGGATAAGCACCTCCAAAGGATACCTGATCAACCAGGCTGTGACTCATACGTCAGGCTGCGAGCGGCCGCGTCCAACAGCCTGGTTGATCAGTCCGGCAACCAGGAGGCCTGGTCGACGACCGGGCCGCGGGGACGCTAAGCCCCGGAAGCACCTCAAGGTAACCTCAAGGTAAGGTAGTAACATTGTTAGAATAATAAGATATAAAAAACTTATTTTATAACTGATTTATTAATTTTATTATTTCGAGGCCGTAGGTCACTGAACTGCGGGCTGCCACTGCCACTCAGCATACCAACGTAGTGGTTCGTTATGGTGAACAAAACATGCAGATACGTATACCCAGTATATAACCTGTGTATATAGTGTAATAACTGACAAAGTATTTGTTTATTTTTTTGTGAACACAATAATTGAATCAATAATATGCACAACATAATTTTGAGTACAGTGATGATTCACACATTTTATTATATAAATATATTACACTATTGAATAATATTACAGCAAAAAATGAAAAAGAAAAATTGACATTGAAATAATTGGATAATTATCTCTTTGTGGCCACTCCTGCCTGACAGCTGGGGCTGAGCAGACTGCTTCGGACGCACGCTAAGTTGGCACCTCTTTTTTGCCAGACTTCCCCACCCTATAGCGGGCAAAATATGCCACTTACGATTTTTAAATTTTTTTTCCCGTGATCAGGGAACACACATTAATAGGTTTAGAAGATTTTTTTATGCGCCTGTGGATGACAATTACCAAATAGCCCTTAGTAACACAAGGTTAACCTACTTGTAGTTTTCTGTATTCTTCTGCAGTTAGCTTCTTTTATCCACACTTTGATCCTTTCATTTGTCTCCTCCTTTAACTACCTTCCTCCTGTGATTTTATATCCTACAAGTTTCTTTTTCACTCCTTATTTTCATTACTTAACATTGACTGGGATTGAATCATAGCTTCCAGTTTTATAAACGTGTGTGCTGTATGTATCCGTGCGTATCGTTTTATTTTGCTCTTTATCCGCAGATGAAGGGATTGTGTCCTCGCCTGTGAACAGTCTAGACTTGGACAGAGATTCTCCACTGGGAGGAGCTCTTGATGATGAGGAAGATGGTGGGCCTCCAAGCATTGAGACACAGCCTCCAGATGATGTGGATGATTTGTCTGTGTCGTGTATAACTTATGGGTGGATAAGGTTCGTTTTATAAGGGTTATGTCTATGGAGTGTATGTGTTGCCTTCTTTCACTTCTCTGTGGGTAGCCCCGGCGTCTGCTCCCTGAAGCTATCAAAAAGACATGTGCCACATTTATATACATTTTCATGCATCGGTGGCTCTTGAGAACGTTACCCACTTTTCTCCTGAGTGCGCGTGACGAACTCATTCATGAGCCACGAGAAATATTTGTATAAAATCTATTTTCTATCCGATCGACTTGGGGATAGTTTACAAGTGTTTGCCATGAAATTTCTGTTTTCCCTAATAGCCGCAGAGCCTATTTGGAAGAAAGGCATGGCATTGCATCATCGTAGTAAAACAATTGTATTATTGACACGACGAGTGTAATCGACGTAGTTTTTTATTTGGTGCTGGTCTAATGCATCCTTGTGTGACGTTTTATACTTATGTTCTAGAACATTCTATTGCAAACACATTGGTACAAAAATGAAATATGTACATCGAAAATTAATGTCAGGACAGTGAAAAGAATATACACTTCGCGTATATGGAGTTTCGCCGATATGCCGCCACGGGTAACACTTCGGCCACTTCCCACACTCTTGCGGGTGGGCTGCGACATTGATTCTATATTTATATGCATATGTCCGCGTAGGGAATTTTATTGCGATTTCAGTGATACCAAAATTAACGCTGGAGGACAAGTGTGGAGTTGACAACCCTGAAGAGAGTAGAAACATTTCGTTGCTGTCTGGCGCTCACGGCTAGTGATCGACGTAGTTCTTTATTTGGTGCTGGTCTAACTCATATTTTGGTGACATATTATACGTGTGTTCTTCTAGAACATTCTATTGTGAACACATTGGTACAAAAATGAAATGCGTACATCGAAAATTAACGTCTGGACAGTGAAAAGAGTATACACTTTTCAGTGTTGCCGCTCGATCGCCCGAAACGCCGCACGCACAAGGGGAAATTTTTTTTGTTTGCGTCGAGAGTGCGAAAGTGTTAATTTGGTGCCATCGGTCCTTGGAGTTCGAGTGCCTACCAGGGGCCACGAGCCAGAACCTGGCCCCCTCAGAAAGGCGGGGAGCAATGGCCATATAAGCGCTCTCTATGTAGTTTGTCATGTCTGCCATCGACTAGGGAAGGCACCCAGAAAAGTAGGTGAACCATTACAAACCTCTTAACCCCTAAACTGCACAAAACTTCATATGATGTGTGACATTGAGCATGATTATTTAAATTTTCCGAAACTCTTTCATATGTTTTGTGCATGATCTACTAGGCAAATGCTCCAACTTTGTCTAAATGATACCAGTGTAACTTGAAAAACAAGAAAATAAAAAATAATTGTAAAATTGAATATTAAAAACTTCAAATTTTGAAATCAGCTGCAAAAATATACAATATTACTAATTGTTCATTTGGTGGTGTTATGCTCTGAGTAGCATATGATCTTCATTTTCATATCTGTAGAATAGAAGTTTTCAGTATAGTTTACTATAAAAAATTTGTCAATATGGCATTTGAAATATGTGCAAATTTAGACAACAAAAATTTATAATTCCAAACATTTAGAGCTTATGAAAAATCAATTCTATAGGGATTGTAGAACAGACAACTGTGCACACTTTATGTGAAAATGGTGAGAATTGGTCAGAAACTAGATTTTTGGAAACTGAAGTAAGTTTAAATTCTAGTTGTAGATTTAACTGAAGTTGAAGTTATTGACAATGAATAAGGCAGTTCTAATTCATGAATTTACTTTTGTGTTTTAATAAATATTGTTTGGTATTTGTACTGGAATATGTGAAAGTTATAGGTCAACATGTGTTGAAATGAAGTCAGGAAAAAATAACCTGCTAAAAAAACAAAATATAGTGATAATGATGGTAATTATAATGATTTAGGGGATATATATTTAGGGTATACTTTATAAAGTAAAAAAAGCCCTAATCTAGTCCCTAATCAAGAAAACTTTAAGAAATAAGGAAAATAGTTTTGAAATCTGTGAAAAAATTAGCCCCCCCCAAAATTCAAAGTTCCAAGTTCTGAGAGTTGTGACTGATTTATTTGTTGACCAATTTAATTCCGTCTTGGGGACGGGTATGCACTCTCCACGATGTAAAGGTTACAACAAATTCAAATAATAAACAAAGGAGGAAAAAAAACTAAAAACCTAAAAAAAAAAAAATTCCATAAATTTTTGTTTGATATTGTTGAAAGTAACTGATAATAATATTGGGCAATGTATTTATATGATATATAATAAAATAGAGCATAATAACATATTATTTGTGTTATTATGTATTACTCACCAATGCTATAAAGGCACCAGCTGCATATCCACTCTGTGGACACTTCTTACTATTATTATTCTTCTTCATTGTGTGTCGGACAGGTGCTTGCATCTCTTTATTATTGCATTATCCATCAGTTCCAGCTGTTCTCCTTATCAACAAAACGTTCTTTTTTATTTAAATATTCGTCCAAAATAATTTTTTTAAAATATTTTGATGAAAGTTTCACGACACTGAAGCCAATAAGTTGGAGATTTGTTCAACATTTTTAAGTAATTTTTACATAATTCAAATATTTTTTTGAATTATACCTCCTTATGCTTAGCATAAGGAGGCAATGGCCACACGGTGAGAGGGTGGGTGGTGTTGGGGGAGAGAGGAGCGTTGGGAGGGACCACCTGGCGGGATAAGGGGGATGTGAAGCGACCTATACAATACAGTACAGGAAATACTATTAATTTTAGAACAATTCATCATAACCAAAAACAAAAGAAATACTAGTAATTATGTAATAAAAAAATACTATACAAGTTTCATAAAAACAATTTGCACAGGCTGAAGTTTCCTTCAAAAATAGTTTGTTTTTCCTCCAGGAGGCCTATGTAACGTGCCTGCCTGCCCCAAGTGGACCCGTCCCGGCCTGGTCAAGCCATGTGCTCCCGTCTCTCATGTTATACCACAGTGCCTTGCCATTAGTGACTTTTTTTTTAGTAACTTTTTTACTTTCATAGTAACTTTGAACATTTTTGGCCAAGACTATGTCTGGTAGCAGCATCAATTGTTCTGGAGGTGTTAAGAGGAAGAAGGTTGTCCTAACAATTTAATTAAGGCCAAGTTACGTGTTATACAACTTTGTGAAAGTGGCCGGTCGACTTCAAGTGTTGCCGAGGAATTTATTAATTAATTATAGGCACTGGTACTGTTTCTGATGTAAGGAAACAAAAAGAGAAATATCTGAAATACATTTCAACCAGTGAGAGTGAAGGTGCAAGCACTAGCAGAGGGTCTGGTAGGAAAACTTTGAAAACTTCTACGCATGTACAGTTGGATGAGGCTGTGTACAAATGGTTTGCTCAGCACCGCACAGCTGGCGTGATAATTCGCGGCCCAGAAATACAAAATGCTGCAAGCAGGTTTGCAGCAAGCGTTGGAATAGAGGATTTCCAAGCTAGTGAAGGGTGGGTTGCAAGGTTCAAAGGGAGGCACAATATTGTGAAGAGGAAAATTGTCTGTGAAAAATTTAGTGCAGATACAAGCAGTGTAGAACCATTTAAACATAAATTGAAAACGTACATTTTGTCAAATAAATTATATTCTTATCAAATTTATAATGCAGATGAAACTGGGCTGTATTGGAGGAGTTTACCAGAAAAAATCTAGCTATGAGGAGTGAAGATTGTATGCCAGGCTGTAAGGTTAACAAGGACAGGCTGTCGGCCATGATGTGTGCGAGAGCTGACGGCACAGACAGAATCACGTTTGCAATTGTTGGCAAATCAAAGAAACCAAGAGCCTTTCAACATTGTTTGGACAGACTGCCAGTGAAATATTATAACTCCAAGAATGCATGGTTTACACAGGAGATCTTTCTTTTCTGGTTTCATGATGTGTTCTGCAGGGAAGTTCATGACTATCAAGTTAAGAAACTCAAAGTAGGCCAAACGAAGTTCGAGCTTTGCTGCTGCTTGATAATGCACCTGCCCACCCCAGAACTGACACGTTAACCTCACATGATGGCAAGATAACGTGTATGGCACTTCCTCTTAATACAACCTCTCATCCAGCCTATGGATGAGGGAGTTATTTGTGCCACGAAGAGGTTGTACACCAAAAAGATGCTCAACGAAGTTTTGGTGGTTTTGCCTCTTCCGGAGGATGTTGAACTCGGTGTAGATAACAGGGCTAAAAAACTGAAGAAGAAACTTGAGAATTTGAAAAACTATACAATCAAGGAAGCCATCTATAACTGGGCCAAGGTGTGGAGTGAAGTAAAGGAATCGACTGAAGAATTCCTGGAAAAAACTCCTCACGTCTACAGTCAGCAGTGAGGAGGATGAAGAAATGGATTTTGAAGGATTTACAGATGAAATCCATGGAATGTTCAGAAATGCTGGCAAAAACGTAGAAAGACAGGATGTGGTTGATTGGCTTGAAAAAGATGCCACTGACCCAGGATATGGTGTGATGAGTGAAGAGATTCTCCCGTCTATTACTGGTGAGGTAAACAAAGATGAGGATGAAGAAGGCAGTGAAGAACCAACACCACTGACCACGAAATACAGTGTATTCATGACCTATATTGACGGATTAATCAATTTTTCATCCAATTGTGCTCATCCAGAAGTTGGAAACATGTATCAGTACCTGAGACGAACCAAAGAGCTGATCATACAACAGGCCAGTGAACACAGAAGGCAAGCTACACTTGATCATTATATGGTACGAAAATCAAGCCAAGCGCCTTGAACCAGTGAGGCGTCACAGGCAAGCCAAGCACCTAGAACCAGTGAGGAATCACAGGCAAGCCAAGCGCCTTGAACCAGTGAGGCGTCACAGGCAAGCCAAGAGCCTTGAACCAGTGAGGCGTCACAGGCAAGCCAAGCGCCTTGATCCAGTGAGGCGTCACAGGCAAGCCAAGAGCCTTGAACCAGTGAGGCGTCACAGGCAAGCCAAGCGCCTTGAACCAGTGAGGCGTCACAGGCAAGCCAAGAGCC